AACATACCTACCTGAAAAAAATCACCAAACTTTGCAGCATGAGTCTGCCTATCTAGCATTTGTATTCACTCATGACATCTTGAAGATGAAAAAGGCCTTGCCCAAATGAAATAGATTTCTGAGGCTATTTTGGAGGACTGCAAAATGTGTCCTATTAATTTGTTTTCTACATTTTAATCCTTTCTCTTTAGAGCACGTGTAAATTCATTACATTTCCTACTTAGAGCAAGTCAGACATGGTTATATCATTTTCATCCTTCCTGGTTTCTTTTAAAAGAAAAGACAAAGGTTATTGGTAACGCAGTTGATAAAGTCAATAATAAAGTTTCAACATTTGCCCCTCAGCAGTCAGTGTGATACCCAATACCCCAGTGCCTTTCACTGAAATTACAGAAAAATAGGAGGGTTACAACATTAGTACTGGAGCAATTACGTCACTGGGTCATGGAATCAAGAGACCTGACCCATTTTCCCGCTTTGCTACTTAGCCACTGAATAACCCTAGTTTCTCTGTGCCTTAGTTAGCAATATTGACCTCCTTTGTAAACTGCTCTGTAGTCTACTGATGACAAGAGCTAGGTATTGTAATTGAGGCAGATCAGCCTCAATTATCATTGACAGACTGGGTCCAAGCCTGTAAGGTTCTGGGAATCCTCAGCTACCACTGAAAAAGGAGCTTCTTACTGTGGTTTCCTGGGGCAGGAAGCATTGAGCTTTTAACGTATGGCAATTAGCAAACATTTGAAGATCTGGAACCTGCAGACAATGCTTAAGTGCTCAGCCTAACTGCCTGAAGTATCTACATGAAAATCAATGGACTACAGATGATATTGAAGTTAAGCAAGTGCTGGAGCTAAAATTCCCTTTCATACTTGCATTTTGATGCCTTAAATCACACTATCTTTCTGCCTCTTTTATCATTTACTGACAGATTTTCTTTACTTACTGAGGATAAACAAACAAAATACTGAACAACCAAATTGTTGTTGCCTTAGATACTGTGCAGACTGATACTATCAACGCAAGATATGTAATCTTTCAGGAGCAATGTGTACTGGACTGTCTAAAACAGCCAAAGCATGGAAACTCTTAGCACATAAATAATTTTAAACTTATTATTTTAAAATAGTTCCCTGCTAAGGAACATTTAAATCGAAATTATTCTGCAATATGCCACATGCATAACAACCCCAAAAGTATTAGGTCTACAATTTTCAGAAGAGCTAAGTGGAAAATCCAGACCACTTAAAAGTATCTTAGGTACAGCATAAAAAACAAAGCCATTTGAAAACATTTAGGCTTATGAAACTCACCTTGGGGTTGGAGATACCATGACAGGCAGATACCGTATTTGCCTGAATCCAAGATAACCCCGAATTTAAGACAATCACTCCAAGAATTACATTCTATACATGGAAAATGTATAAATTCATTACACTTTTACATATATAGAATCTAATTATTGGAGGGTCATCTTATATTGCCCCCCCCCCACACACACACACATACACTGCTGCATCAGGAAAAGCAGTGAAAAGGGGCAAGTAGCAAGGGAAGCCATATGGGGAGAAGTGGGGGGTAGGCAGTGGGGCGGGTCAATCAGTTTGGCCTCTGCCTCTTGCCCACTCCTATACCTTCCCCCCTCATTTCTGCCCTCCCTTGCTGCTTATACTTGCTCTGCTCCAGCTGGCTCTAGCCTCACTCCTGCCTAGGACATGGAGCAAGGCCCCAGCCCAGTCTGGCAGCAGCAACAGCAGCATAGCAGCTCCAGCCCTGGCTCCAAGGCTGCAAGTAGGGGGAGAGTAGAGGCTGAAGTAGGGAGAGGAGAGAAGACAGAGATGGTCAGGGCCAGAGCTGGAGCTGAAGCTGCAGCAGCTGCCTGCTTCACACTGCCTCATACTCTGATCCAAGATGAGGGGCTTTTCCCCCACGTTCAATGGAGGGAAAAACCTTATCTTGGATTCAAGTAATAAGTAATTGTTTTTATTACCTTGTTACACTATACATTATGGTTTTGCAAAGTACTATTTTATAATCTTTGGGAGCTCAGAAAAAAATTAAGATAATGCAGAATAGTTGCTCTTCGTAATACAGAAACATTGCTTTGCCTTTATAAGGTAATAGCATGATAATTACCAAATGTCTGTTTAATATTAATTGCTTTACCCTAGAGTGAAAAGTTATTTTGAAAAAGCACTTTCAACTATGTGATTTTTAACCTGGTGTAGATTCGTCATTTTTTTTAATGGTAACTAGAATTTTCATACTTTAATTGCCCAAAATGTTAAGTCAGCATAAAAATCACTTCATCAAGGACTTGTGACTATGTGATTTCCTTTTTTGTCCTTGCCAACTTCTCACTCAGGGAAAGTACTTCTCACACGCATCTACCCCATTTGGGAAAAAGCATTGAACATGACTATAAATCAGTTTAATCTAATCTAGGGACATTCTCTAACATACATCTGGCAAAAAATACCTATATATGATTGAATAAGTAAGTGCACAACAGAGTCAATATTTGGGCGTCTTGACTGCTCCTTTTCTTACTTTTCTGAATCCTACCCCAGCCCCTAAAACACAGTAAAGATGAGGTGCAGCACACCACCACACAAGCCAGGGTGAGGGATGGAGGCAAGGTGCCGTTGGAGGCAAGTGGGGAACGCTAGGGGACAGGACAGGGGACAGGACACGGAAAAGGTGCAGGAAGGAGGGACCTGCCCCCAGTTGACGTGGGCATGTAGGATAGCCCCACAGCTGCTCCTCTTACCTTTTTTGACCTCAAGGGCAACAAGGATCACTGCAAGTAGCAGCTGTGCAGGGTGCCAGGCTCAGCCAGGGACAGCAACAGCAAAGGGCAAGTTTTTCCTTACTGCTCTCCTTCCTTCCTCTCCTCCCCACTGCCCCACCCCAGAGTCCCCTCCTGGCTGGCACCAAGTACCAAAGGAGGAACCCGTTCCCTCCCCCACCCCGTCCTTCCCACCACTACCACTGTCCTCAGCTGAGCCTAGCACACAAGGCAGCTACATTCTGCAGGCCATGAGTGGAGCAGGGCAGGAGTGACTGTAGGGCTCCCACCATGCCTGCATCAGCCATGAACAGCAATGGTAATGATGGAAGGGTGTCCTCTTCCTGTGCCTGCTCCCAGGCAGTGGGAGCCAGGGAGGGCAGGGAGAAGGTGCAGGAAAAGAAAACCTACCCACTGCTGCTTCTGTCCCTGGCAGAAGCTAGCACCCTGTGCAACCTCAGCCCATAGCTGGAGCAAGGCAGGAGTGGCTCTGGGCCTTCCCTGATGCCAGGGGGAGTAGCAGAAATGGGCTTCCTGTGCCTGCTCCTTGTCCAGCCCCCTGGTGTCCCTCACTGTCCAGGGGGCTCCTGTTGTAGACAGAGTCTGTGT